CCCTGTCAGTCTGGGGCACACCACGTGACCCAGAGTCAAGTCCCCACCCACCCATGTGCACCCCAAAATCGCACGAGACCCAGACCTGGCCGGCCCCATCCCCATTGGCCTAGATCCAGACACATCTGGTCCCACCCTTGTCAAGCCCCGCCGAGCGGGGTCGCAGCCTCAGGTCCCCTGGGCTGGCACCAGGCAGGGTGTGCAGCCTGAGGTCCTCTGTCAAGCCCCACCAGGCAGGGGGCATGGCCTGAGGTTCCCCTATTAAGCCCCACAAGGTGGGGATGCAGCCTCAGATCCCCCAGCCCAGCACTGGGAGGGTGGCACAGCCTCAGGTCCCCCATCAAGCCCTGCTGGGTAGGGGGCACAGCCTGAGGTCCCCCAGCTTAGCACCGAGGTGGGGGGTCCACCTTGAGGTCCCCCGTCAATCCACGCCGGGTGGGAGATGCGGCCTCATGTCCAATGGCCCAGCACTGGGGTGGGGTTGCAGCCTCAGGTCCCCTGGCCTGGTGCCAGGGCAGGGGGCACAGCCTCAGGTCCCCCATAAAGCCCCCCTGGGCAGTGGGTGTGGCCTGAGGTCCCCTGTCAAGCCCAGCCAGGTGGGTGGCATGGCCTCAGGTCCCCCAGCCCAGCATCAGGATGGGGTTGTGGCCTGAGGTCCCCTGGTCTGGTGCTGGGTCAAGGGGCATGGCCTGAGGTCCCCCATCAAGCCCCACCAGGCCGGGGGAACACCTTGAGGTCCTTGTCAAGCCCTGCCAGGTGGGGGGGTGTAGCCTCACATACCCTGGCCAAGTGCCCAGGTGGGGGGCATGTCCTGAGGTCCCCCATCAAGCCCTGCTGGGTGGGGGAGTGGCCTGAGGTTTCCTGGCCTGGCACCAGGGCCAGGGGAATGGCCTGAGGTCCTCTGTCAAGCCCCACAGGAGGGTTGGGTCACAGGCTCAGGTCCCTGCTGATTGCTCGTTAAGGCTCGTTACAGGAACTCGGCCTCCGCTGTAGGTGCAGCCATCTTATGTTATGGAACCCCGTTCCCCCAGCCCCCCACCCCACCTCTGCTGTGGGCAGGGGCATCCTTGTGGTGGAGTGATGGTCAATTTGCATATCCCCTCTTTATTATATAGGATTCTATAAATACCATACTTTTATTTCCTCCCTTTCCATGTTATAGAAATTAAATATAGACAAAGAAATGCCTTAGGCTTATAGTAGATTGCTCTAGGAATATTACTGTAAGTTTTATTTTTGGGAAGCACAAAAGACTTTCCTGGAAAGTTTGCAAAAGAGACATTCCAAGAAACGGGAAGTGTGTGGAAGGCTGCCTGCCCTGTTCATCGGAATTCTGATTTAGGCAGTGCCCCTAATTATTTCTTGATCTTTTGAAACAAGACTGTGAACCTGCAGACCCCCATAGGTTTGCTGGAATCCTTATACTTAATCTTTGGGTGTCCTTGCTTTAAAAACACTACAAACACGTGTGTCCTCCCAATATTACTTACCCTATTGATTTTGTCTTAAAGATAAACTTTATCTCAAACTGCTGCTACAATAAAAGCCTAATGAGGCAGGCAATCAAGGCCCTATGGTTCCTTTAGCCAGGCAGTCCCTTAGCCCTCGGTTTCACAGCAAATGTTGTGTCAGAGTAATCCATTCATCTGGTGCTTAGGGTCTGCTGGTTATTAGCCCTGGCATTTTATAAAACTCATATTTTTTTCAGATAAAGAAATACAACTACATAGTGAATAGATTTACCTAAACACCAAAACTGCATTTATATTTTCCAATATATACATAAAATTGTACCCATTTACTAACTCACTCATTCATTCATAATTTACTGTGTATCCATTCTTTTCCAGGCAGTGGAGATTTGACAGCGAATAAGATACTACATTCTAATAAGAGGGTCAGGAGGAAGAAAATTAATTCAAATTAACCCATAAACAAA